TCATACAAATAATAGACTGATTGAATGCTGTCTCTTATACACATCTAGATGTGTATAAGAGACAGAGCTAGCATAGGAGGCTATGACCTTAGCCTACTACCAGGGACTACTACTAGAAGTAGGGTGATGAAAAGTGTAAGGGAGGCCTAGGCCCAATAAGTATCACGGTTTTCCCACTTTTTCATACTGTATATATGTAGATTTAAAATTCTATCATCATCAATCTGCTTCATCTTCAATAATTAGAAAAGACGGTTTATTCATCACCCCAGCGGGCCTCTCGATACTACTCTATGAATGAATATGTATTAGCATTTAACAGTAGAAAAAAATTCACATCATATTTATATTAAGACATAGGCTAGCCTGAGTTAGGGTTTTATTATTATCTTATAAAAAATGTTGAGGTAAATTTAGTTTTCATTTCATTTACACATCAATTTGATGTAGTCTAAACAGTTTTTAATTTCTTTTTTTAATATTTTTCAATTGGTATTTTTCTTCCATCCTCAGATAAAAATGGAGAAAGCTGAGCATGCATGTCCAAGTGTAACGCAAAGTTTGCAGAAAAATCAAGTCTTACCCACCACTTAAAAGTTCATGAACCAAAGGCTCTAGCATGTATAAAATGTAATAAAAAATTTACATTGAAACAGCATTTGGACAGACATATGAAAGTTCATCTGTATCCAGAAATACTACTTTATAATGCACATGAAGCAGTACTCAAGGCTTCTTTACAGGCCAAGGATATAGTGAAACAGGAGAAAAGGCAAACTATCCCTGAAATATGGTTTGAAGAAGAAACAGCTATGAAGGCCGCAAAAAGAACTGGGCAAGACATGTGGAAGTCAAACCTAATAATTACTTTTGGTAAATATTCTGGACAGACTTTTAAATGGTTGCTAGAAAATGATGTAGGTTGGGTCATCTGGCTTCTCTCTGAATTTGTTCTTGCCGGTGAAAAATCGCTGTGTCTCAAATGGCAGAAACAACATTTACTGGATTTTGTTCAGCAGTTTTCTCCTCTGAAAATTCACCTAAAGGTAAGATTTTAATAACATACAATTTTGTTTTTGTGATAAACTACCGATCAATTCAAAGCATCATCATCATCATCATCATCACCACCACCACCACCCACATCATCATCATCATCATTATCATCATCACCACCCTCATCATCATTAGCGAGTTTTAGATCTGCGACGACGAGTTACTTGGAACGGTATGACGTTATTGTAAGGCATATGCGCATGCGTAATTATATTTATAATGCTTGGGTTTCGTCGAGTTCATTCGTAGAGGACGTGAAATCAGCCGGGAATCCGTCGTCACAGACATACACTTCTGACCAATCACAGTATGTCAATTGGCAGTTGATCACGTACACCAGGTCAACACTAGATAGATTCGTTTTCAAGCTCGCGAATATCTTGCTGGGCTCTGACGTTGTTCACCAAGAAAATATAGCTAGAAAATTGTAAGTTTAAACCTTATATATGAATATGATTACTTTTGTTTCAATGATTGATAATGGTAATGGTATAGGTAGGCCTATCACTTTTATTTTTGTTTGTTTTCATAGAGTAAAAATAACGTAAGGCTTCGATCATCCATATCTAAACTTCGCGAACGCCCACCCATAGGCCTAGGCCTAATTAATATAGTGTAGGCCTATATAAAGGCCTAGCCTAGGCCTAGTAGTATAGGCCTAGGCTAGGTCTATACTAGGCCTATGTAGGTCTAGGCCTAGTATCCTACATACTACTACTACTACTACTGTACTACTACTACTACTATAAAGACATAAAGCCCTACAAGAATATATGGATTGAAGAAAAAATATAAAAATAAATTAGATACGAAAAAGCAGATGCATCGGGTTATTTATTATTCCTATAATTAGGCATGGCCTAAGGCTAGGCTAGGGCCTAAAAAATAAATGACATACTGTACCTAAGTTAGTAAATATTCATTGATTTTACTTTTTCAGATTATTAACGTTCAATTGTACTCTACCCACTACAACTGCAAGTTCCGGAATCAACTCTATCCAACAGCTTTTTGCATGTAAGTTAAGGCCTATAGGCTATATTACTTTTTTGTTAAATTGGATTTTAGTAATGTGCTGTTTTATTTAGGTCTAGATATTTTATAGAGGCCTGAGGCCTAGGTATGTTCGTTTTTTGGGTAGAGATTTCTTTTTCTTTCCCTTTTTTTTAATACTGTAATACCATCATGCAATTTTACAACACACATTTTGAGTCTATCTTTTTTACCAGTTATGTACACGCTTACTGTATCTGTTTCAGATGGACAACAAACACCAGGAGCAATACCCATTGTTGTAGGTTTTCAAGATAAGCTGATTTGTACTGGTAAGTTTTCCAACCTTATTGATCTTGTCTTAGAATACGGTCACCATAGCAGGCGAAACTACTTGTTTGTAATAAACCCAAATAGCTAATAGTAATAATAATAGTAAAAATTCATAATATCATAATAAATAACAAAAATGATAAAGTAACCAAATATTAATAATAATAATAACAACAACAACAACAATAACACTTAATAATAATAATAATATTAAATAATAATAAACAATAATAATATTAAATAATAATATAAAATAATANNNTAATATTTCAATCAATGTATAATTTTATTAATTTCAGTAGCACCATTGACCACATCAGCAGATCAAGAATCAGCAACAAAAAAGATCAAAAGGTATTAGTGATATGTCAATGTAAATGAACAAATACTGTATACCGTATATATTCCTTCAATACCACTGCCAATATTTAACTCAAACCTGTTAAAGTTTTTGTTACTTTGCACCATAAAAAACATCTTAATTTTTTATTTCTTTTTTTCTACTAATAAAATGAGGACTTAATGTATCTCTTAGAAAATGAGTACTATTATGATGACCTCAAATACTAAGCCCCTCACATCAAATGTATGTAATGTCATGTTGATTAATGCAATAATGGAACTTTATTCTTGAGTAAACTTTATCAACAAATGCCATTTATAATAATTTTCAATGAATTTAATTTTTTTTTTCTTATTTAGATGGGATGAAGAAATGGACAATGATTTAGTAAAGGAGATGCTCAATTCAAATATTTTTAGCTACAAATAAAATTCGAAGAGCCGAGGTTTGCGATTAATCCATTTGGAGCGACAACAGACTGAAATTAATTACCATGAATTCTTTTATGTCCATTTTACATAATTCTTTGCGACTGTACAGGTCTACAAACGGGTCGAACGGTCCCATCTATGAACCCCCCTCCCCAACAGTTGTTGAGCGGTGCGCCCTTAGTTTGAATAACATTACAAAATTCTTGAAGCTTATCTGGAGCAAGTCATGGCTGTTGGAGAGTTTCCAAAATATGGTTACAATTGTCGTAAATAATGATGTCCACGATTTTGCACGTTGCCAAAAACAGCTCTGTTATGACCGACCGAAGTTTGGAACCATGTCTGCATATCGACATGATATGCAAAACGATAAAAAAACATAAAAAATGCCTCGATTCCATCAAATACGGATCCATTTTTGCATCGCCCTTCATGCGGAATTCTTAAAACATCATTGATAAATGTCATCCTTTTCAAATCTTGAATTAAATAATGTTATTTTGTTAATGTATACTGTATATATACAGGTATATTGATATTGGCTTGTGTGTGAGGAGCCAAAGTGGCAGAGGCATATTTAAGAGTGGGTCTAACGAAGGTGGTGTAGCATTGTGCCTTAAAGACCGTCTGACAAGCTGAATTATATGACTTATAAGAAAATATACAAATATATATTTGTATGTATGTATATGATAATAATAATAATAATAATAATAATAGTACAGTAATAATAATATATCAATTTGATACATAATTACATATTCTAACTGGACTCTGTACATAGGATGTATACATTGTGCCTGTATTTAACATTTTTCAATCATTGTCAATCTAAAGTCGGAGTTATGTCCTGGTTTCGACCCTTTAACGTCACTAGATAGGCTTATCTTCATTAGACTTCTACGAATAATTACTGTAGCGTGTAGTGTTATAATTGCTATCCTTAAAAATAAACTCAAATATAGACTAAAATGGTGATGCGCCTAACCTTAACCCTATCGTTGCAAACACCTGTTTATACACCTATCGTCACGATCACAGGGGGCGTGAACTCACAGGGTCTGTTTAAACGCCTATCGTCATGATCACAGGGGCTGTGAACTGAGTCTAAATAGGCTAACCCTAACCTTAAAAATAAACTCAAAAAATAATATAGACTAAAATGGTGAGGTGCCTAACCTTAACCCTATCGTTGCAAAGTTATCGTCATGATCACAGGGGGCCGTGTTGGGGACAACGAGCCGCTTACGCGGCTCTTAATAGGGGGTGAACTCACAGGGGCTGTGAACTCACAGGGGCTGTGAACTGAGTCTGAATAGGCTAACCCTAACCTTAAAAATAAACTCAAATATAGACTAAAATGGTGATGCCCCTAACCTTAACCCTATCGTTGCAAACACCTGTTTATACACCTATCGTCACGACCACAGGGGGCCGTGTTGGAGACGAGGCGCTCACGCTGCTCCAATAGGGGGTGAACTCACAGGGTGTGTTTAAACGCCTATTGTCATGATAGATGATATAGGTTAATGGAAATATCAGATATAGCAGTTAAGAGAGTAGACATACTGTATGTATATCTGATATAGAAATATCAGATATAGCTGCTGAGAGAGTAGACATACTGTAGTGTATGTATATCTGATATAGAAATGTTTGTATCAGATATCAGTATATATCACTATATCTGATATAGAAGTGTAAGTATCAGATATCAGTAAATATCAGTATATCTGATATAGAAATGTATGTATGTATCAGATATCAGTAAATATCAGTATATCTGATATAGAAATGTATGTATGTATCAGATATCAGTAAATATCAGTATATCTGATATAGAAATGTATGTATGTATCAGATATCAGTAAATATCAGTATATCTGATATAGAAATGTATGTATGTATCAGATATCAGTAAATATCAGTATATCTGATATAGAAATGTATGTATGTATCAGATATCAGTAAATATCAGTATATCTGATATAGAAATGTATGTATGTATCAGATATCAGTAGATACTGATAATTAAAAATGACGATATAATACTAATACTAACATTAACAATAATAATAAAAATAAAACGTATAATAAAAATATAATAACAATATAATAATAATAATGATAATAATTATATAATAAATATTATGATAATAATAATAATAATAATAATAACGATAATAATAATAACAATGAAATATTATTATTCATAATAATAATTATTATTATTATTATTGTTATTAGTAGTATTACTATTTGCATATTAAAGGTATTAATTTACATTAATAATACAATAATAACAACAACAACAATAATAATAATAATAGTAACAAAGCGACATTTTGGTGGTCAGTGGAGTGGAGATGAAATTGTAATTCAGTAGCTGGCATCATTTTCCAGTGCCACATGCGATTCTGAAGACAATTAATTGAGTATCGATGTGTAACCACGACGACCTTCAACATCATGTTTGCATCATGGAGGAAATATGTCGAACCATGGCCATACCTACATGATCGGGAGGACCGACAATGAAGTATAACTTGGTATATTACAGTGCAAAATTAGGTTCAAAACAGTCTCCCATAATTGATAACACTGCAAAATTAAATAAAAGTCGTTTGCAAAACTTCACAGCTAAAGAAAACTACTGTAAAATTGGGCTTTAGCGGACTGAATGCTTATTTATCATTTTCACTAATTATAACGAATTTCCGATAATTTGGCTAACGAAAGTACAAATATGAGTTCAATTAAAACAATGCTGGGCTTCCATTATGTGCAAGATAGGTATCATTAAAAATCATTTATAAAATTTAAAAAAAAACTTACAGTAATTTACCATTTCATAATAGGCCTAAACACAACCACAACACAGAACATGCTCTTGACGTCATACGACGCTGTCCGAGTTGCCCAACATCAACGATTATAAGGATCGATCACAATAATTAAATTATTGAGGATAGTAATATTAGGTCGATCAATTAAAGAAACCATTACACTACATATAATGTTATTAAAATAACAATAATAATAAATCTAAGGACCCTATAATGAATAATGTTGATTCCAAGAAAAAAATAATAAGTTAATAATAATAATAATAAGCTTCTTTATTTTAAAGCAATTGAACCGATTATTGATCATTGTTGTTTGTTTTTATAAGCGAGAATCAGATTCACTTAACATTGTAACATAAACCAAACTTAATCTTACAGGCCTATTTTTATAAGTTATAGCAGTGGTACGACAATCTGTTTAGATTGTCTTAAAAGAATGTTACTTTTTTTTTTTTTTTTTTTTTTTGTCGTACGTACCCTCTTTAATAAATAATTAAATAGATAATGGTCCAAAAAAGTGAAAAGAAATAGTCGTGACAACGGTCGTACAGGCTATTCAGCAAAAACCCCCTAAAAAAGGAAGCGATTTGATGGCATACACTACACGCAAATTCAAGATAAAAACCAATGAATAACTTTACAAAACCCAATGACCCGAAGCTTCGCATAACTCCACCGTCGAACTGCCAGTAAATGTCAATACAGTTTTATCTTATACTGCTTATGCGGACGACGTAATATGATCACCAATATATTCCCGCCTTATTATTGTTTACCACCTGGCCTATTCCGTCTTATTATTGCTAGCCTAATTACTGTCGCTGTAGAGGAAAGTAAGTTTCAACTACCCTTTTTATCATACTCACTGTTTCGCGCTGTAAAGTGACTTGGGATTTTTTCAACGTAAATTAGCTTTTACATATTTTTTACAGATTGTTTATGCTGGATAATAAGCTGTGAAGTTAAGTTCAACATAAGGTACATGCTAGGTCTCTTATACACATCTAGATGTGTATAATACATGACATATTTAATAATTGTTTACCCCAGAAGAAAGTGTTGCAAATTTGTGTCCCATAGGCTCCGATTATCCAGACCACAAAATACTAAAATTCTCCGGGAACTAAATTTCGTGTTACACCGGCATTCTGCCGAGCGATGACGTCAAGAACCTATGCATCAGCCTAGGCTGCTGGCGGAAAACTCATCGGGGTCGAAGGGCGGGAAAGCGAGTACACAAACATTCCAACAGGTGTACAGGTGCGTAGACACGGAATTCGCTCTCTGTGTGTTTGATCATGGAGGTGGTTGGATAGAATAAATTGTGGGAACGACGGTAAAAGTGTCGGAAGTTCGTATTAAATTTGAAAATTGTCATCGTTTAAATTTATAAATGTAGATACAAAAGGCGTGTTTCTGCTGTAAAATGATTGTCTTTAAAAGGTAAGTTTGTTAGTAAGTTGTAGATACGAGGTTATTATCATAAATAGAATAAAAATTGTACCAACGGCTAGGCCTAGAGAGCGAGCCATGGGGTTGTAGAGGTGGTGTTGTGTATAAAAATATACATTACAACGTGTTAAATAATGTTTATTGATGGCGTAGTTGCATTTATTGTAGTTGTTTGTGTTCTCCGTAATATTATACAAGTCTAATAATTGTGACTAATATTTATATCAATTAGAATGTATGTTGTTAGCATTTTTAAATCTATTTAAAAAAAAATGTCTAAATGTACTTCCCTAATATTGTGAATGGTGCGCTCCATAAGTAAGGGCAGCCGCTTATACCGGACCGTACCATTATTATGATAGGGGTGATTGTATACGCTGTGTATTTCTTTTTCTGAACCGTTAATTTTATATTGATTATAATCTGAATTACTGTACAAACCTTAATGCTTTTAAACTGAATTTAATTATATATGATGTATTTGATCAATAGTTAATAGATTAATAATAATATTTAATTTAATAAATGATATTTTTTCTGATCCTGTTTTATTTTTATTTGTACAGTACAGTAGAATTGATTTTGGTACAGCTGAAATGTATACTAATCTTCACAGCATAGAAAACATTTTTTTACTACCCGTGAGCCCACATGAATGAAATTCTTCAATTTAATCACGAAAGTATTAATTAATTTTGATAATTGTAATTATTTTGTAGAATTTTATTCATGTGAACTCTCAGGCAATAAAATGTTTCTTGGGTGAAGTTAAACAACAACAACAGTTGACTACTTTAGTCGTCATAAGTGTGGACCCTACAGTACAGCTGTCAGGCAAGTGTAAAGATGGAACGGAAACCAAAACCACAAAATAAAAAAGAAGTGAAATTTGAATACCATGCCAGCACCCAAACCGAAGTATGGGGATATGCCCTCATCGCTGGCTAGGGTTCAATGAGGTTAGTGATCAAATTAATTCAAGTACAAGTTCAAATTCAACTTTATTTAACTATAGAGGCCCAGATCAACACAGGGTTGTTCTTCCCTGGGGCTGTGCAGATATCCATCTATAAGGATATAGATGGACTGAGTGATAGTGGTTAATGAATGAAATGAAAAAGAAAAAAGAAATCCATTAAAATCTTGAATGCAATTTCCACATATTTATTACACAATCACATTTTGTGAAGAATTTCATATCA